TGCGGCCGCCAAGGGCCCAGACTCGGGGAGCTGAGGGGATACGCTCTGCCCTGGGCTGGGGGTCCTCGCTACAAGCGCGCCGGAGTCCCACCGAGCCGGAGGGAATCCCCGGTGATGCCAGCTGGCGTGTGCGCCGCGCTTTCCGCGGTCTTTCCCTAAGCCCTCTTACCCTCCCCACACCGTCCTGGATAGCAAGCGGTCTTCCCACGTTCCTCTGAGAGGAAGGCGAGTTCAGTGAAACAGGAGGGCCAGAGATGCTCCGGGATGGGTACAGTTCCCGCAAAAGACCGCCGACTGAGCTCCAGCTCCAGTGATCTGAGCGCCTCTTTGGGTACCACCCAGCATCTGCAGGCCTGGTGAGAGGGGCTCACGCACCTTCTCTCCTCCTTCGAAGGCTCCCGCTGTTTCCAGGAGCCCAGTTGCAAACCCCTGCAGAGGGTCAGCTGTCCGCGCAGCTCCCTCCACTCCGGGCAGAGTTGACCTACAGAGTGTGTTCAACTAGTCCCTTAAATGCCCAATAGTTCCTCCAAAGGAACAAGTGGACACTGGCCTCCCATGTGGGAGTTTATCTTGTTCTATCCGCATAAATCCGAGACTGGACAGATGTAAGAGCTGCCCCTCTTCAGGTCAAATTTTAGTTTGTTTATTTATTTATTTATTTATTTATTTAGAGATGGAGTTTCACTCTGTCACCCAGGCTGGAGTGCAGTGGCCTGATCTCGGCTCCCTGCAACCTCCGCCTTCCGGGTTCAAGCGATTCTCCTGCCTCAGCCTCAGGAGTAGCTGGGATCACAGGCATGCACCACCAAGCCCAGCTAATTTTTGTAATTTTAGCAGAGACAAGGTTTCACCATGTTGGCCAGGCTGGTCTCGAACTCCTAACCTCAGATGATCCACCCGCCTCGGCATCCTAAAGTGCTGGGATTACAGGCGTGAGCCACCACGCCAGCGCCCGTCCAGTTCAACGTTTATTGAGCACTTAGGGGGAGTCAGGCATCCTGCTAGGCAATGGGGAGGGGGTTACACACGGACCCTAGAAGGACGTCACAGCCCAGTGAAAAATTGGACACATAAATGGGTGATTTCAATATTATGGAACAGAAGGTTGCCCCTCTTCTCCACTGCTGGCTGCTCTACAGCCTACTCACTCCAACCTACCTGGAAGCTCCTCCCTCTCTCTGTGCAGTGTTTCATCACATCTCTTCCCGTGGCTTCTTCTCAACGCAAGTGTTCTTATTTGAAAAAAAAAAAAAAAAGTATCCAGTTGATGCTCCTATTCTGCCTGTTCCACAGATTCATTTACACTCATGGGCATCTGTTTTGTGCCTGGCTCCTTGCCAGGAGCTGGACAGGTCGCTGCTTTGTGCCTGGCTCTCTGAGAGGGGCTGAACAGGTGTCTGTTTTGTGCTTTGCTCTCCATGAGGGACTGGACAGGTGTCTGTTTTGTGCCTGGCTCTCTGTGAGGAACTAGACAGGTGTCTGTTTTGTGCCCAGATCTGAGAGGGGCTGGGCAGGTGCCTGGGCTGTAGTTGTCATCCGTCTTTGAAAATATAAAGAGAAGATGATTAGAAAACTCTGCATCTATACATCATGCAATAGGAGCTGTAAGACCTTAATCCTTTCACTGCTTAATCGTTTTTTCTAGAAACCAAAGGCTATGACCTTGAGGAAGCCAGTGCCCTCCTGGGGGATGGTGGTGGGCTATGAGAGGACCAGCTTCTAATGGCAGACATCTCTGTCCATGTCCTGGCAGATGATTCCCAGTCCCTTTTGCATGGAAAATCTCCCCTGACTGAAAAGACACTTTCACCCAGGACTCACTCAACTTTGACCTTGATGCTGTTTGCCCTCTCTGGGTCTCTAGTTCTCATGCACTGATCTTAGATTCACATTTTCCTTTTTTTAATTCCTTTTTTAGAATTAAAACTTTTTTTTGGTAAAAATATAAATAAAAAATAATATTTTAATATTCCTACCATCCAAAATGAACATTTTGGTATATCTGCTTTTGTTTTTTCGTTTGTTTGTTTTTGTTTTTATTTTTTTAAAAACGGAGTCTTGCTCTGTCACCAGGCTGGAATGCAGTGGCTCAATCTCGGCTCACTGCAACCTCCGCCTCCTGGGTTTAAGCGATTCCCCTGCCTCAGCCTCCCAAGTAGCTGGGACTATAGGCGTGTGCCACCACGCTGTGCTAATTTTTTGTATTTTAGTAGAGACGGGGTTTCACCACGTTGGCCGGGATGGTCTCCATCTCCTAACCTCATGATCCACCCGCCTCAGTTTCTCAAAGTGCTGGGTTTACAGGCATGAGCCACCGTGTCCAGCCCTGCTTTCATTTTTTAAAAGTCACTTTTCTTCTTGCAAAACTGGTATTTTATACACACACACACACACACACACACACATTGTAAAACATTAAAACTCTGCAAAAAAAAAAATAGAGAAGAAAAACAAATTTTATCACCAGAAATAATTTTCCTGAATATCAGATGAGGACTTTTTGGGCACAGATGGATACATATAGGCATACATCTTGATATATAGTTGGATGCAGGATTGAAAAATAGATAAGAAAAATATTCGAAAATGTTAATATCTCATAGTTGCAATTTTTAAGAAATCTAATTTTCTTTTAATAGAAGAAAAGAAAGCTAACATAAAGCTAAAGGAATTGTTAAGTTTTAAATATTTATTTCCCACATGAGAAGTACTGCTTTCTAAATAAGGCTACAAAGGCTCAGAAAAGATAATGAAAAGCAAGAGAAGAGTGGCATGATGTTTTATTTGTAGGCCTCATCATTGTAAAATCCAGGCAACTTTTTGCTATTACATTTGCACATTTTCTCACATCTCCCTTTACTTCACCTATCTTTGTTAGTTGTTTTCTGTTTTTGTTTTTGTTTTGAGACAGTATCTCACTCTGTCATCCAGACTGAAGAGCAGTGGCGCAATCTCGACTCACCTCTCAGGCTCAAGCAATCCTCCCACCTCAGCCTCCTGAGTAGGTACGTGCCACCATGCCTGGCTAACTCCTGGGCTCAAGCCATTCACCTGCCTCGGCCTTTCAAAGTGTTGGGATTACAGGCATGAGCCACTGCACTAGCGTAATTGTGCTATTGTCTTTCAATTACCACTCTCCATTCTGTAAGTACAGTTATCATGGTTGTTTAGTATTAGATCTATAATTAAGTAATTTTATGTTCAGTACCAGTCTTCACCTTCTCTATATCTGCATCCTTCTCTTTTTTTTTTTTTCTTTTTTTTGAGATGGAGTATAACTCTGTCACCAGGGTGAAGTGCAGTGAAGTGCAGGCTGAAGTGCAGTGACGCAATCTGGGCTCACTGCAATCTCCATCTCGTGGCTTCAAGCGATTCTCCTGCCGCCAAGCGATTTTCCTGCCTCAGCCTCCTGAGTGGGGATTACAGGCATCTGCCACCATGCCCAGCTAATTTTTGTATTTTTTATAGAGACAGGGCTTCACCATGTTGGCCAGGCTGGTCTCAAACACCTGACCTCAAGTAATCTGCCCATCTCAGCCTCCCAAAGTGCTGGGATTACAGGCGTGAGCCACCATGTCCGGCCCTATATCTGCATCCTTATCTACAAAACCCATTCATTCCTTTATCAAACATTATCAAATTCCTCTTATGTGCCAGGCACTGTGCTAGTCCTCAGGACTATGTGTGCAAGAGACAGCCCAAGTCCCTGCTCTTGTTAGGTTGACATTCTAGTGAGAAGAAGCAGACAAGCCAATAAACAAGGTAATTTCAACACTAGGAAATACTATTGAGACAATAAATCTCAGCAGAGAGCTAGAGAGAAAATGGGTCAAGAAGAGAATTGATTCAAGATAATTTGACCAACAAGAAGAAGCCAGCTGTCCAGGTGCGGTGGCTCATGCCTATAATCCCAGCACTTTGGAAGGCCAAGGCAGGCAGATCACTTGAGGCCAGGAGTTCGAGACCAGCCTGGCCAATGTGGCAAAACCCCATCTCTACAAAAAAATACAAAAATTAGCTGGGCATGGTGGTGCAATCAGACCAGGCGTGATGGCTCACTCTTGTAATCCCAGCACTTTGAGAGGGTGAGGCGGGAAGATCACCTGAGCCAGGATTTTGAGACCAGACTGGGCAGCATGGCAAAACCCCATCTCCACAAAAAATACAAAAATTAGCCAGGCATGGTGGTGCAAGCTTGTAGTCCCAGCTCCTGGGGAGTCTGAAGCAGGAGGATTACCTGAGCCCAAGGACGTCAAGCCTGCAGTGAGCAGTGATCACACTACTGCACTCCACTCTGGGAGACAGACTCTGTCTCAAAAAATAAAAATAAAAATAAAAATAATTTTAAAATAACTGCCTAGACCAGCACCAGGCACAGTGGCTCACACCTGTAATCCCAGCACTTTGGGAGGCCAAGGCAGTCTGATCACCTGAGGTCAGAAGTTTGAGACCAACCTGGACAACAAGGTGAAACCCCATCTCTACTAAAAAAAAGAAAAAGAAAAAAAAAGTATTTGGGTGTGGTGGCATGTGCCTGTAATCCCAGCTACTCTGGAGGTGAGGCAGGAAAATCACATGAACCTGGGAGGCGGAGGTTGCAGCAGTGAGCCGAGACCACACCCCTGCATTCTAGCCTGGGCGGCAGAGTGAGACTCCATCTCAAAAATAAAAATAATAATAATAATTGCTCAGACAAAAGAAAATTGGCATTTTTGAATGTCTACCTATTGACAAAATGTTCTTCAGAACAGTTTTACCTGTGAACTTGTACATTTCCCTCTACTCCCAACCAGGCTCTATTCTTTTCATGGGGGGAAAACATTCTAGTTCAATGGGTTGGGAATAAAAAGAGAGACATTTCATTCTTGTTTTAATTACATACTGGTTTATTACCAAATTCTTGCATGCCTGATTATTGGCTCATTGTACTTTATTTTATGAACATATTTTGCTTAGGCCCATTGACCACTCTGCTGTTGAGGTGTTCATTTACTTTTTGGTATGTGTTTCCTAAATTAAGTTCCTTTACTTGTTTATTTTATTACAAATGCAATGCATGCTCACTAGTTTAAAAAAATCAACAAATATGACCAGGTGCAGTGCTTGTAATCCCAGCACTTTGGGAGGCCGAGGCAGGTGGATCGCCTGAGGTCAGGAGTTCAAGATCAGCCTGACCAACATGGTGAAACCCTGTCTCTACTAAAAATACAAAAATTACCTGGGCATGGTAGCGGGTGCCTGGGTGCCTGTAATCCCAGCTATTTGAGAGGCTGAGGCAGGAGAATTGCTTGAACCTGGGAGGCAGAGGTTGCAATGAGCCGAGATTGTGCCATTGCACTCCAGCCTGGGCGACAGAGCGAGACTGTCTCAAAAAAAAAAGAAAAGAAAAATCAACAAATATACCATCCATCAGAAATGGCCATTGTTAACTCTGGAATACATACCCTTCTACATAATTACATGCACATACACACACACACATACTCCTACATTTTTCTTCAGGTATAGAGAAACAAACCATGTGCATTATTTGTTTTCTGATTTTGTCACTTAATAATACATCACAATCATCTTTTCATAACAGTACGTATATTTCTGCGAGGTTGTTTTTCAATAGTCCTGTAGCATTCCTTTGTAAGTTTATATCATATTTTACCTAACCAGTACCTTACTGCTGGGAATTCATCTTGCTTGCAAATTTCCATTTTTTTTCTTTTTTTTTTTTGCGGGGGGACAGAGTCTCACTCTGTCGCCCAGGCTGGACTGCAGTGGTGCGATCTCGGCTCACTGCAAGCTCCGCCTCCCTGGTTAACGCCATTCTCCTGCCTCAGCCTCCCGAGTAGCTGGGACTACAGGCGCCCGCCACCTTGCCTGGCTAATTTTTTGTATTTTTTAGTAGAGACGGGGTTTCACTGTGTTAGCCAGGATGGTCTCGATCTCCTGACCTCGTGATCCACCCATCTCGGCCTCCCAAAGTGCTGGGATTACAGGCGTGAGCCACCTCGCCCGGCCTGCAAATTTCCATTATTAAACACGTTTCTGCTACAAACATCTTTGTAACTGAATCATCGCATATGTCCTTAATGATTTCCTTAAGGTGAATTTTTAGAAGTGACTTATGAGATATTAACACTTTATTTGCCATGTAAATCGCAAATATTTATCCCTGATGTCTTATTTGCCTTTTCCTTTTGTTTATGAGTGGTTTTATAAATTTGCTTTCAGTCAGTAAGCTCATATTCACCAGTCCTTTAATTTGTTATTTATTCCTACGGTTTTTATATTCAGAAAGTCATTATTTATCTTGTGATCACATTTACCTGCTATAGGGCATGCTTTGATTGATGCCCCAGGATCCATTCTACTCAATGATCAGTCTAAGCCTAGCGTGTGATTCTACTTCCTTTGTTAGTGATCAATTCAGGAATTGGCTCAGCTGATCCAATTCTGGCCAATAGCATGCGAGAGGAAAGCTAGTGGGGAGCTGCTGGGAGAACTTAGACAATTCTAAGTGAGAGATAAAAGAAGAGATCACTTTTCCTCTTCTTATGTAAAAAAACAATACTCTTTGTTGTTTGAGTTTAATATTGTCAGAGCAGCATATTCTTGGTCTTGGGCATCACATCCACGGTTAAAGCAGGAATAAGTAAAAGAAGCAGCCTAAGCCAAGTATGTCCCTTTTGCCAGAAAAAGCAAAAACCTTCCAACCAATCCTTAGTAAAACAGCCTCATTAGCTAGAGCTCTTATATGGCCTCTGCTAGCTGCAAGTAAAGCTGGGATAGCAAGTATTGGAGTTTTCCAACCTCTGTAGCAGAAGCAGGCAAGGAGGAAAGGGATTAGGAATTGGGATTGTGTTAACCAAGGTTCAGTATGTGCCTCAGCCAGTTTACTTACTTGTTTGTTTGTTTGGTTAGTTTATTATTATTTTTTGAGACAGAGTCTCAGTCTGTCACCCAGACTGGAGTGCAGTGGTGCAATCCTAGCTCACTGCGGCCTCAAACTCCTGGGCTCAAGTGATGCTCCCACGTCAAGCTCCTGAGTAGCTGGGACCTCAGGCACACACCACCACACCTGGCTAATGTTTTATTAATTTTTTTTTTTTGTAGAGACAAGATCTTGCTATGCTGCCAGGCTAGCCTTGAACTTTTGGACTCAAGCAATCCTCCCGCCTCAGCCTCCCAAAGTGCTGGGATTACAGCCACTATTCCCGGCAGAGTTCGGTTCTTTGAGTTGTCATCCCACCCACCACCTCTGACAGCCCCAACATTTAGTGTTTTAGGTACTCCCAGATCCAGGATGTGTAGTAATAGGCCAAAGGCATCATTGTTTTCTAGAATGCATTGCACCACTTAGCAAATAAGCTCTGTGATGCCACAGGTTTTGTGATTTTCCCAAGCAAACTTCACTATCCCTTTCCCATTGCCTCATCACTTACTCTTGTTTGCACAGAGCCCTGGCTCTAATTTATTTACCTTTTCCTCAATCCTCCCATCTGTTTCTCCAGGAATCACCCTCAGAAATGAGGACACCATGACCGCCATCAGTCTAGTGAACACCTGAATGAGGATGGCCCCCAGGGTCTGTACATTTCCTGGGGAGAAACTGAGGCTGGGGTCTGGGATCCTCTCATCTCAGTTCCTGAGTTGCTGAAATTAAAGATATGAGCCACAGTGCCCAGCCAAACTGAGATTCCTATTGTTTGAAGAGCATCTTAAACAGAAGACCTGATTTTTTTTTTAATTCTAATTGTCAGGTTTCTTCTAGTTTCCTTTGTTACTTAGTAACTTCTTAATCCATCTGAAATTTAGCTTTATTAGATTATAGAATGCTGGAACTTTCTAGGAGAGCATATGAACCTCACCAGTACCTCAGAATATGAGAATGTACATTTGCACAGCAAATCCTGCAAAAGAGCCTGCATACTAATGTTCAGAAGTTTGTGATGAAAAACCATCTCCCTGATCCTACGTGCCAGTCTGGAAGAACTTCAGGAGATCTGTGGCTGTATTTCATCAGAACTGTGCAACTTAGCACCCTGGGTCAGAGTGCAGTGCTTCTGAATCCAAACTCGTATGCTCCATCCCCTAACACCCAAGCTAGCAAGATCCAAACAGAGAGAAATTTCTGTTTTATAGCTGCAACCTCTTCCTGTAAACCAAGTCAGGTGCCTTCATTTGAAGAATGAGATTATTCAAAGGAGACATTGAGTTTGAGATGCTGAAGACGACTTCAACAAATGGAAATAATTGCAAGGCAAAAAATAGCTACCATTAATCAAGCACCTAATCTCTATCAGTTACAGTATATACATATACGCATGTACTTTGTGTACATGGCACTACATTTGGAGCCAAAATGATCCGGTTCCAATGTGCTTCTGCCACTCTCCAGGTACATGATCATAAATAGACAACTTTTTGACCACACAGATCCTCAGCTTGCTTATATTTATAAATTTTAAAAATGAGAATAATAACATATATTTCAAAGGGTTATACAGACGAGCAAATGAAGATTGTGGATGTAGGTGTGGTATCGTAGATGTAGATGTGAAGATTGCGGTAGGGAGTTTGGTACATAAGCTCTTCATAAACATTTGTTAAGAATAACCAGTACTTAGGCCGGCCGCGGTGGCTCACGCCTGTAATCCCAGCACTTTGGGAGGCCGAGATGGGCGGATCACGAGGTCAGGAGATCGAGACCATCCTGACTAACACGGTGAAATCCCGTCTCTACTAAAAAAAATACAAAAAAAAAAAAAACTAGCCGGGCGAGGTGGTGGGCGCCTGTAGTCCCAGCTACTCGGGAGGCTGAGGCAGGGGAATGGCGTGAACCCGGGAGGCAGAGCTTGCAGTGAGCTGAGATCCGGCTACTGCACTCCAGCCTGGGTGACAGAGCCAGACTCCGTCTCAAAAAAAAAAAAGAATAACCAGTACTTAAGTTCTTGCTGGGACCCATCTGCATCAGTATTTCCCGGGTTTCATTTGTAAACTAACGGAATAAGCCCAACGGGGTGATGACAAAGTTTCTCTTCTTGACCTATCTCTTACCAGGTCTTAACCTCAGCCTATAAAGACTTGGACAGGCTGGACATGGTGGCGCACGCCTATAATCCAGCACTTTGGAAGGCCGAGGAAGTAGGATTACTTGAGCCCAGCAGTTGAAGACCAGTCTGAGAAACAGGGAGACCCCATCTCTACAAAAATATTTTTTAAAAAACTAGTCAGACATGGTGGTGTGCACCTGTGGTGTCAAGTACTCAGGAGGTTGAGGTGGGAGGATCACTTGAGCCTAGGAGTTCAAGGCTGTAGTGAGCTGTGATTGCACCATTGCACTCCAGCCTGGGCAACAGAGTGAGACCGTGTCTCTGAAAAAAAAGAAAAAGAAAAAAAGACTTGGACACACACTAACATGGTTCCAACAGCACAAGGACACACCCCCTAGCATGATTCAAGCCCACCCTGAAAGTGCCTGCCTATAAAATTCAAAGAGCTTACTGTTTATTCCAGCCAACACCTGAAGACAGGGTCCTGTGCTAGTCTCAGCCACATGGGCCAAGCCCTTTTCCCTTCCTGCTCTTTGTAATTTCTCACTTCCTTAACTCATCTCAAGCCCTGCCATCCCCTCGCTCCCTCCTTCTCCCTTTAAAATGCCCAGATACCTGGGCACAAATTGGAATGGAGCTCAGATCTTTCCCTGACTGTCAGTAGTATTGAATAAAATCTGTTTTAATTGCTTCAGCGAATGTCCAGCTGGTCCAACACAGATGCTCAGGTGGTGAGGCAGCTCTTCCAGGCAGTCATTCAGGGCTCTAGGTTGCTGACAACTCTTCATCTTCAATGTATAGCTTCCAAGTTGCCCTGGGGTCACCATTCCAAACAGCCTAAAGGAGAAAAGTCTGTGTGGGAGTAAGCATGGGGTGGGGTGGGGGTTTATAGGCCAGACCTGGAAGTGATGCCCATCACATTCATCCACATTCCTTTTGCCAGAGCTCAGTGACATACGGTGTACCCAAAGAAGAGGTAAAGAGATAGGTGCACAGCTGGTAGTCTCTGACACACATTCTAATGTACTCCATCCCACCCATCTCTGACTCTCTCTCTCTTTTTTTTTTTTTTTGGCCCTGTCACCAGGTTGGAGATCAGTGGCACGACCTTGGCTCGCTGCAACCTCCACCTCCCAGGTCCAAGTGATTCTCATGGCTCAGCCTCCCTAGTAGCTGGGATTACAGGTGCCTGCTACCACACCTGGCTAATTTTTGTATTTTTAGTAGAGACAGGGTTTCACCATGTTGGCCAGGCTGGTCTCCAACTCTTGACCTCAAGTGATCCGACTGCCTCGGCCTCCCAAAGTGCTGGGATTACAGGTGTGAGCCACCGCACCTGGCCTCTTCTGTCTTTATAGTTGACATTGTTCCTAACAGTTTAAATATTGTATCCTCAATATCTTCAAGGAGTTCCTTGAAAGTTCTCTGTTTTGCTCTTGGCAAGCGAGAAGGGAGAAGCCAGTTATTGAGCATGAATTATATACCAGTTAGCTTTTGCTGCAGTGTACCAGTTAGCTTTTACCACAGTAACAAATAGCTCCAAAGTTTCAGTGGTTGGCAGCTTGCTTTCTTGTTCACAGATGTGCAGTTTAACTGTGGCTGTGTTCAACATGGTTCCGTGCGTCTGCTCATTAGGGGATCTGAGCAGATGGATGAACTCATATATGGGATGTGTTGTTCTCACGGCAGAGCGCAAAATCAAGGGAGACATTTCTAACTCCTGAACATGCATTTAATGATTTTTCTCAGACTTGGCATCTATCACACCCACTCACAGCCCCCTGGTCAAAGTAATTATCATTGATAAGCCCAAAGTCAATGAACTCAGAAGTATATTCTACCTAGAGGGAAGCCGGGCAAGAATGGGAGAAAGTGTACAGGAGAGAACAAGCAATACAATCTCTCAATCTGGCTCAGCTGGACATTATATCAAAGACATAACAAATATTATTCCATGAATCCCAGTTTTGTTCTGTTTTTTTTTTTTTAAGTGTGTTTTGAGACAGAGTATCACTCTATAGCCCAAGCTGGATTGCAGTGGTGTGATCCTAGCTCAATGCAGCCTCAAACTCATGGGCTCAAGTGATCCTCCTGCCTCAGCCTCCCAAGTAGGGATTACAGGCATGAGCCACCACACCTGACCAAAACTTTGTATTGTTTTATAAGACTTGTCCATATTTATGGGAATACATCGGTATTTTGATACATGCATACAATGTGTGATAACCAAATCAGTGTATTTAAGATATCCATTACCTCAAATGTGTATTATTTTGTTGTATTGGGAACACTTTAAATCTTCTCTTCTAGTTATTTTGAAATATACAATATATTGTCATTAACTATAATCACCCTACTATGCTATCTCGAACACTAGAAATTATTTTTCTTTTTTTTTTTTTTTTTTTTTTTTTTGTTGAGACAGAGTCTCACTCTGTTGCCCAGGCTGGAGTGCAATGGGGGGAACTCGGCTCACTGCAAGCTCTGCCTCCCCAAGTTCAAGCCATTCTCCTGTCTCAGCCTCCCGAGTAGCTGGGACTACAGGTGCCCGCCACCATGCCTGGCTAATTTTTTGTATTTTTAGTAGAGATGGGGTTTCACCACGTTAGCCAGGATGGTCTCGATCTCCTGACCTCATGATCTGCCTGCCTTGGCCTCCCAAAGTGCTGGGATTACAGGCGTGAGCCACTACACCTGGCTAGAAATTATTTTTCTTTTCTTTTTTTTTTTTTTTTTGAGACAGTGTTTCACTCTCACCCAGGCATGGCTCACTGCAACCTTGATTTCCTAGAGCTCAGGTGATCCTCCCACCTCACCCTTCTGTGTAGCTGGGACCACAGGATTGTGCCATCATGCCCAGCTAATTTTTGTACTTTTTGTAGAGATGGGGTTTTGCCCAGTTGCCCAGGTTGTTCTTGAACTCCTGGGCTCAAGCAACCTGCCTGTTTTGGCCTCCCAAAATGCTGGGATTACAAGCGTGAGTCACCGTGCCCAGCCTCTGCTTTATTTGTAACAATATAATAATAACAATATTTATAACAATATTTATAACAAAATTAAGGTGATCCTTATCCAGATTTTAAAAATCTGTGAAGTGGTCATGGATCCCTTTGAGCAAATAATGAAGACTGTGAGTTCTCCACTTTGGAAAAATATACACCAACATGTACTCACAAATGTAATGGTCTGTTGATTCTCATTTAGCAGTATCTGCCATGGCTGTGGGCTACAGGGACACAGAAACATGTCTTTGCATTTTTGTATTCCTGATAGCCAGCACAGAGCTTAGAACCCAAAATAGGGTGCCTGGTACACGTTGGTTGAATAAACTAATTGGTACATAGGGAGACATTATAGCAAAACTTACATAGAGCTTATCATGTGCCAGACATTGGTCTAAGTGCTTCTTGTGGGTTACCACACTGAATTCTCACAACAACCTATGAGGTAAACACTATTATTAATTCCATTTTGTCAAACAGGAAACTGAGGTAC